GGTCAGGGACTCAAAACAAGACAGGAAGCTGGAGGCAGGAACTGAATCAGAGACTGCATAGGAAGGTTGCTTATTGACTTATTCTCCATGGCCCACTCTGCTTGCTTTTCTATACAACTCAGAACCTCTTACCCATAGGTGGCACACCACACAATAGGTTAGACACTTTCACATCAGTCATTGGTCAAGAAAAAGCCCCACAGACCTGCCAATAGGACGGTGTGATGGAGGCATTTTCCCAGTGAGGTTCCTGTTACAAGTATATGTAAATTTAAATTCAGATTCTACACTTGAGAAAAAAATTGCAACGTTGTCTTTCTGGGTCTCATTTTGCTTAATGTCATCATCTCCAGTCCCATCCGTTTCCAAAAGACATGACTTCACTCTTCTTTACAGCCAAATACAATTCTCCTGGGTGTGTCTTTATCTATCTATCCACTTATTGAAGAACCTTAGGCTGATTCACCCTATCTTGGCACCAGCGTTATTACTACAAGAAATATGTAAGTGCTTCTCCTTTTCCAGCACCAACACCACAAGCATCTGCTGTTTTCTTCCTGGGGTCAGAAGGGATCTCAGAGCAGTTCTGTTTGCATTTCTATGATGGCTAGGGGTGTCAAGCACTTTTCCAAGTATTTCTTGATCATTTGTACCTTTTCTTATTTGTATCATCCTCTCCCTTCTTTCCCCCAAACATTTAACTTTTTGTTTCATGGACTCTTAGATTATCCTTTACCTTATATTTCATTCATTTCTGCCCTAATTTTCATTGCTTTTTTTCCCCAACTACTTTTAGGTTTAGTTTGTCCTTGTTTTTAAAGACGTTGGTGTACACTATTAAGTTATTTATTTGTGATATCTCTAATTTCAGAATGTAAACACTCACGTTATACACTTTCTTCTTAGCATTGTGTTAGCCATACTCCCAAGTCTTGCTATAGGTCATGGGAAAGAGAAGAGTCCGTAAGCTCCACATACTATTGAGCCTGTCTGTGTTGGACAAGTGTCCATTGTCTCCCAGAGCTGTTCTCAATGCAGCGGCTTCTCTTCTGTGCATACCAGAGGTCTCTGCTGGCCACATTTACCTTCAAAGTCTGCAGGCTAAACAGGTTCTCCTACTCCTATGGTACTCCTCCGATCCTAGTCCCTGAGCTGGGGGATGTCTCCCAAGTGTATGAGTAATGTGGGAGCCAATGGCAGCACTGAGAGCCGCACAAACATCTCAAAGTAATATGCTGGAGCCTCCACAGCAGTAATGGAAGACAAATGGCTTCCAAAGTTGCCTCACTTGCTGACCCCAGGCTCCGGGATAGGAAAGCTCTGAGTTCTCTGCTGATGAGGTTATCTGTACTTTTCAGCTTCTCAGTATCTGTCCCTCCCACGCAAACCAATTCTTTCCAGGGCTGTTTCACACTGAGATGGTTAAATTCAAGTACTGTGTCCTGTGATGGTTTCCAGTTCTCTACCCCAGGGTAGCTCAGTTTTAAACAATAGGTTCACTCTCAATACAGAGCCAAGCCACTGTCTTCTGAGTCATACAGAATGAATACCAAATACAGACCATCGAGATGGCTCAGCAGTTATTTGTCTTTGGAATAGATTTTTATTTTTTTTTTCTTATTCAGACTCATCCTTTGTTGAACCACAGCTAGGCAACTTGTAGTTTGCACATTCTTTTTCTTTTTTTTCAGATTAAAAAAAAAAGATTTACTTCCTTTTATTTTCCATGTACCTGTGAATGAGTGCACGCATTAGGTATATATATCATATGAGTTTCAGTACGTGTGAAGGTGGGACTTACAGGCTTGGGGGCTGGTCTATGTGGGTGCTGGTTACTCAGCCTGGGTCTTCTCCAAGAACAGAAAGTTCTTCTAACCACTCAAGCAACTCCCCAACCACAATCCTTTTCTCCATCAGAGAGATAATGTTAGCATGTTGTTATAGAGCAGGGTCATCCAACCTGCTGCGTGTAACCCAGAAAAGTTATGAATGCAGCTCAACACGAAACCACAAACTTATCTGAAACATTACGGAACTATTTTTGGTAACTTGATTATGTGGTTCTTGAGGGCGAGTTTTGAAGATGACGATATCACGCCACAATATCATGCAAAATAAACCTATGTATGCTCTTAATGTTTCTATGCGTGTATGTATTCAATTTTACCGAGGTTTGTGGCTTCCAATTGTGTTGTTTTCTAAGCATAGACTCTCACATCGGCATCGTCAGACATCACATGTGCTCATGGTAACTTGGAGAGTGAAACGTGGCCACTGTCAATGTAGTCTTAACCTACCATTACAAATGATATTCCGTGTTGCTTAGAAGACAGGTAAGTATCCTTACTTGATGAAGGATGTTGCACACTTCAGCTATGCCCTGTGGACTGCCTACTGCACTTTACAGTTGGCCCTCTGCCTCACCCGGCGTTCCATGAGTCATGCAGCAGTCCACAGCAACTATGCTCTTTACAAGTCTGAGTGCCCAAGCATCTCTTGCCACCCTACCCCACCCAAGCCAGCTCCCTTGCATTCTCAGCAACAACAGAAGGACCTGACTTCTCTCTGCCTCGTTCCTCTTTGGTCTCATGGGCCAAGATGTAGACACTACCCTGTTTACTGCAAAATTTAACAGATTACAGTTGCTGAAAATTGAGGGCAGATTATAGCCCAGGAAGAGCACCAGCCCTTGGCCGTTGGTGTTGGCCTGTGGACATCAATTCTCTCTTCAAGTATGCTCTAAACACACACTATGACCAGGTCCTGGGAATAAATCCTCGTGCAAGACATCTAGATCTTATGTCTCAGTAGGGCACTCCAGGGTGGACTTCGCCTAGAAATTCATGGTCTCAGGCTTATCGTTGCACACACAGGCTGGGAGTGGATTCTAAGATTTGTCAGGCACTTGTGGGGCTATAGTTCTAGATAGGCCAGTGGATGTTCAACTGTAGCTCCACAGGTGATTCTGGGTCAGTCAGTTTGGTGCTGGTGGGTATCTTTAGGGAAGGAAGACAATTCAGGCTCTAAAAGGACTCTGAGCTTGTTCTATACGAGGAGAGCCTGGGCAATGTCTCTGTGTCTTTGATCAACTTAGGGCAGCAGGAAGAGTGTAGGACACTTCTATGGTCTCAGTAATCTTTCCCTGGAGTTTCATCTAAAACCACGAAGTGGGCTATAAGTAGATCCCTGGGAAAGCTTGGCAGAGGGGCAAGGAAATCTCTAGCAATTCCCCGGGCAAGCACTGGCCTGTGGCCTCCATAACTGGCCCACTTGGCTGAATGGACTTAGAAATTGCTTTTTGGTGTTGTTGGAAGCTCTTTCTATATGGAAGCAGACTTAGAGTACAGGGAGCCCAGGGCAGGGTGTACGGGCCAATCCTGGTGCCTTCTAAGCCTCTCTACTGTAGGCTCCCTGGTCTCTTATCCACACCTCTCTCCCTGGATCCTGTAGTTCACATTTTAACCTTCTCTGCTTCTCCTCTAACTATCCACAGTCCTGAATGTCAAGTCCTCAGTGTGAGCACAGAAAGAAACAGAAGGTTAGGCTGTTTGAAACATATCTCTGTACCCCAGCGACAAGACTGGCCCATGCATCTGCTCACCCCCAGACGATTGCTATGCTGGAATCACCATGTGCAGCCCCTATGGAGCAATCGCGGTTTCTAATTCATACAGAATTCCAGTGTGCTATGTAGACTGGCTCTCAAAAGAGTGTCCTTCCTCTCATGTCCCTGGGAGCTTTCACTGTAGTCTAAATTAGACACAGTTTTCTACTATGAGTTTCCCTCACACTGGCTGTATGGAAGTGTTTCTTCTTTGCACTTGAGAGGGAAAGGGGCATGGTCAGTCGTGGACACAGACTTTTTGGAGTGGGAGTTGGTTGTCAGGTCCTAGTTCTAGAATAACAGCCTAGTACTCTGGTGAGAACACTGATCTGACCCCAGGGAACCAACAGGGACCAATGGAAAGCTTCTCCTGATCGCTGACTGCAGGGAGTGGGTTCAACCTCATCATTGGAGTTTTGAGTGTTGAGGGGCTGTTTAAGAAGCGAATTCAACCCTTTTTATTCTAGTTCCGTGAACATCTCAGCACAGGAATGGTGAGGGGGAACCTTCTGGGATCACAGGTCTTGTTCTACCATGCTAGCTGATCCTATATCCTATCCCACTCTAATTCTCTGTTCTAGGTGGCAAATGACTTAGACCCTGAGAGCTACTGGCATGACTCAAGTGTAGAGGTGGACAAAGGGGGAATGGAATTCAAGCTCTTGTCTATTCATATCTCCACACCCATGTGGTCCTGTGCCCACATTGCTGCTCCTGGGGCCTCCAACCCTTCTTATTCTTGTGTATGGGATTCAACTTAGAGCTCACATCGCTACCCTAGAAGTAATGGGAAACTTGCGAGTACGGAGGTGGGCGTGGTGATGTCTGGGTTACTAACATCGTACACTCAGATATCTGCATCTTGGGGCTGGCCTCCTCTACAAAATGGCTGAATGTAGACCGGAAAGAATATGAAGGACAAATTGTAAGAGGCAAGGGATCTGTTGAGGACGCAGGCCTGTAGCCATTGACAAATCCACCTTAGCTTCCATCAGCGCCCTTATCCAGCACAGGCACATGCAGAACCCTGTGGTTTCCAGATGTGTTCTGGGACAGGGTCCGTCCTCTGCTGCTTTCTACTACCAGTGCCTGTGTGCAGGGTGGGCCTTCTTCCCCAACAGCTGTGGGGCAAACTCTTGTGACTTCACACTAAGCCATTGCTTGCCCAGTGAAGAACTGGCTAGCCCCTCAGGAACAATCCAGGTCATCTGGAGAAAAGGGAACACCTTTCCCTGTAGAGATTGTGTGGCACTTGCAGTTGGACCAAGGCCCATGAGTACCAGGGCCTGTGGCCTAAGCTTTTCGGCTAGGACTCCATGGCCCCCATAGTCAGGTCTGAGGGGCAAGACCAAGTGTGGGAAATTCCACAGGGCAGCATTCACCGCAAATTCTTGGCAGCAGTATTTAAATACAGATCTTTATTAGGGAAATTATAGGTGAAGGTACATCACTTTCACTGATATGACTTCCAAGTAGAAATGGCTTCTCAAATAACTGTCATATATTAAAGACGAGAATACAAAAAGCACACACTGCACATAGGAAGCTGCCTTCTCCTGGGCCATTTTCACATTATCTGGGAGACACAACTGAAACAAAACACAGCATTCACCACATGCAACACGGAACCCATCGCTGCTCGGGCACGGAAAGCCCATCCAGGTTGGCAATCACTTGGCGGGCTGGTTCTGTGAACTTGGCAACGGCCGGAGTCTCCTGGGGACTTTAGAGGTTTCTATGGAACATTTTGAGGAGTGAGATTATTTACCTTAAGATGGACCACGGAAGCTGTGTAAGGGAACAGCTCCCCGGTTCTTATCAAGCTGGAAAGGGGTGCATTACCTGGAGAGGGTGACTGGCCCCTGGGAGGAGGCTCCTGGCAACACCACGCATAAGGAAATCACATGTGAGAAGGTAAACAGAACCCACTGGAGAGACCTACCATCCCAGCCCAGGTCCCAAGGAGGAAGGCAGCTTTTTGCTCTTGTGACCCTCTCTCAAAGCTGAACAAAGAGCCAGATGACTCTGCCCCACTTTCTTGTTAGAGACCCTTTGTCCTTAGGAGCCAGCAGCAGCACAGTATAAACAACACAAGGCACAAATCTGGGCTTCAACACAAAGCAGACTATAAGTCTCCAACCCCCATTCCCTATCCAAATGCAAAGGCTGGTAATAGAGGGGCGGGCTGCCTGGCAGGTTACTTAGTGCCCAAGGGAAGACGGGACCTGGAGGGCAGGAGTTCCAGCAGGGACAGCTAGGTGTCCCCAGTTAACAGCAGATCACTGATGTGCTGGGCTTGTTTTTTGAAAGCAAAGGGATGGGGGGGGATTAAGGTGGAGAGAGACTTTTCCTATGTAAATGTACTATTTAAATGCATATTTGCTTTAGGCAGGCTGTCTCCATTCAGAAACTGACAAAACAGAAGAACCGAGACACACAGAAGTCTCCCTACAGTTCCCACCTCATCCTTTAGAAAGGATCTATCTCTATAGTGAAGATGAAGGGCTGTGCTTGCTTCTAAGCAGCATCCTCAAAACTCTGGGTTAGATGCAAAGTGGCTGCTGCCCTAACATTGTAGTTGTGTGCTATCTGGTCCAGGGGCACGGCATGGTCATTTCAAGGGGGCTCAGAACAATTCCGTACCCCTATGCGGGTCCATCGCTGCACTTAGCCGCGTGCCCACATCCTAACCGGCTTAAGCATTTTAGTTTTTGTTCCAGTTTGATCAAAATCTAGCTGGATGGATTTTCCTTCTTCTGTGAAGTCAATTTAAAGGACTATTTACAGAAAGGCTTACACCCCCAGACATTGCTAATGTAACAATTCTACAGATTATTTACTCTCACACACCTGTTTTGGATAATTCTTTGCTTCCTCCATCTTACTTGGGTGTCCAGCCAACTGGACAAGGAAGCTCCCGCCCCTTCCCTTTCTCTTCTTCCCACATCTGTTTCATCTGAAGAACTATGCTTTAATGAGCTTGACTGCAAAAAACTTCAGAGGACAAAACACTTCCAGGGCCACACTCAAGCCGCCGCAGCAGCACCACCACCACCTGTTAGGCTGTCCCAAGGAAAGGGGCACAGTGTTATCTGTGGCAGCAAGGGTGCCCGGCGGCTACCAGGACAGTGGTGAGGGAGATTATTTAAAAAATAATGGAAAAGAATTGAGCACTGCTACTCCTTAATAAAATGTTGTGTTTGATGCCACCACAGTTTTAAGGTGAAAAGTTATGAAAATATGAGACTCAACAGTACTCAGAGCTAAGTGCTGGTGCTAAACCACCTTGCTTTGTTTGGCTTCGTGTGTCCAACGTAATGCTGCGAGCAGCGAGGAAACCAAGGCTGTTTACCTCCATGACCACAGCCTGGACCTCAGGGCCAGCTCCTCGTACTCAGCCTTTGCATTTGGATTAGAGACAGTGCACGAACGAGACATTGGGCATGGGTGACAACATGGACTTTGAACAAAAGCAGGGGGCCGAACAGACAATATTCCAAACAAGACATACATGTGCACAGGGTTTTCGGAGGAACACCAGACATTCTCCTTTCTTTCTTGCTGTCTCATTTGAATAAAAGAGTTCACCTTGCAAGAGTCCTTTGTCAGGGTCACGGAGACAGTCTTGGAGACACATGATGATGGATGAGGGGGAGTGATGAGCGTGATGGAATGAAGAAGGAGAGCATGGGATGAGGGCGGATCTCACTCTTCCTGGCCTCACTCCTGCCTCAGCTTGGGAAAGCCCTGCAGTCTTTGGGGTCGGGGCACCCAGTTCTCATTAATAAAAAGGGTGCACCTCCTGTCTCAGCTCCAAGAGACAAACCTGGGGAGCCCCTATTCAGAGAAGGCCCTCCATGGCAAAGATATGATAACAAAGGAAATAACATAGTGGCTTTGGCCTGTCACCAATGACACTGGATAATCAGACTAAATGAAATAAACACCATGTATCTTGCTACATAATCAAATAGTGAAAATACAGCAAATCGTGCAAAGCAAGTCCCTCGGAAATGGCTTCAGCCCTGCTCAGGAGCAGAGGAAGTGGCTGTGGGCCCTTCCCTAACACTGACTTCAGACCTAGGCTCCTTCTGTAAGCTCCTCAGGCGTCTGACCCACGCCTCTCACATCTTGAACCTCCTGTTGACAAGAACAAAGGAGACACCATTAAGGCAGATTCTCACCACCACGTGCCTGGGATGCTGCGTGGCCTGGCAAGAGCCACGGGCCCTACTCCTGATTTCAGCTTGCTGCCGTGTGTCTTCCTTCCGAGGCCGGAAAGAATGGGAAAGCAGGGAAGGACATGGCCAGGGCTGACGCTGGGGATCTGGATGGCGGTGGTAAGCGGAAGACAGATGAACAGGTAAAGCGCAGGGTAAGGCACACACGCACTGGCATGGAAGGCATGGTACACGGAGCACATGACAAGGCACTCTGCCTTAAGCTCAGGACTCTGATGCTGAGGCTATGCATCGACCCCAGCAACAGCAGGCGCTGTGTCCCCGGGCATCCCCAGGCCTCAGAACTCCAAGAGGCACCTCCCATAACTTCCATCAAAAACTCATTCTTCTTTAAAATCCCTTGGCTGGTGCCACATCACCAGAAGAAGAGGTCTTGGCACTCAGGAGGTGGCCTCTGGGGCTGCATGTCCTCCCAGAAGGCATCTGTTCAGGACAGTGTAAGGACCACCCCTCACCTGCCTATGAACTGACAGGAGCACATACTGTGTCAGCCTATCACAAGACGAAATCAGCTTCTCGGGCGTTTCCATGGTGACTCTGTCCATCAGGCTGCAGCTGCCCATCAGAAGGGCATCATAAGCCACTTAAGCACAGAGGGGCTCCCGGGAGCCACATGCCACATAAAGACAAGTAGAGCTTGCTATGGTTCCTAAGTGACGGTCCACTCTCTTGGTCTCTCCAGCCTGCTTCTCTAGGACTTGGAGGCGGATAGTGGGAGGCAGAGTCTATGGGCATTTCTGAAAGTGGTCTTCCATTTCAGAACAGCCTCAGTTTGGCCTTTGGTTGCTAGGGGCAACAGTTCTCCCCACGGTCCTGGAGGGGCTAGGCTCCCCTTTCTAAGAACAGCTGTGGCTTGGGCACTGGCCTGTCCTTCAGATGTGTTTTAGTAATAGTAGGAAGGCCCCAGCTGAGGCCAGTCTGAGCCCAGACTCCAGCTGCCACCACAAAAAGGACGGGCAGTGACCCTGGGCCTGAAGAGATGCCCGCTCACAGTCCAGATTGCTCCCCTCAGATCTGAGGAGGGGATATGGGCTGGCTTGAGCTGTCCAGATAAATGGTAACAGCTGGTGACACAGGTCTCCCCTGAAGCTCCCTAGCAAGACAGGTGCCAGCAAGAATCATGGAGGGCTGTATCTCTAACGATAGAACCATTAGGAGCACATCCAGGGGCACAGAACTTAGGGACCCAGGAGAGTGTGACCCATGGGCCTCTGGGCTTCCTTCCTCTGCTCCATTGGCTGCATCTTCAGATCGTTTCTGTTTTCTGCCCCAGTTATGAAAATTATCCCAGCGGACTGGAGTCCAAGATGTGTGTGTTTACACGAGGTGAAGAGGAGGGTCAAGAAATTCAAATGATCCTCTTTCAAAACACTACTAAAATCAGAACTTTGCACCCTAGCCTTCCAATCCAAACTGGCACCAAAAACAAACAGACAAAAAACAGACATAAATTGCCAGGTGAAGGTGGGGCAGGATAGTAGAATGTTCTAGAATTTTGACCCGATTCACTGAAGGCAGATATCAGACTGAGGCAGCTGTGCCCAGATAGCACAGCAGCCCAGGGATGTTGGGACCAAAAGGACAGACTAAAAGTCCCTGAAGCTCCTGGCCCTTCCGTAAGTTCCAGAGCACATCTGTCCTCCCCACGAGGGACCCGTTTAAAGATTCTAAAGTGAGTTGTCCAAAGAAAAGACTCCCTGAGAAGCAGCTCACATCTGTTTTCTGAGAAGTTATCATTCCTCCTGCTCACCCAACAGTCTGTAGATACCCTTCTGGGCTGGCGGCAAAGCTGCTCACACCGTCAGGGGAGCAAGTCACCTCACGTCCTGAGAAGGCCACAAGGGGTGGTGTGGCTGAAGGGAAGCCATTATGCCCTTTCCTGGCTAAGCAGACCCTCCTGGCCTTCATAGGATTGTAGACTTTTGGGTGTGAGCCTTGGGAACTCCTGGCCAGGGGCTCAGCTCGGGGCAACTCTGCCAGGCTCGGCAGGTCCTCTGTGGCTTAGCTTCCACCCCAGTCTCTGGACATATATATTTTTTTTTCATAATTTTTTCTTAGAGCAAGGCTTTAAGAAGCGCATAAATACAGCAGCTGGTGTAGCCACCAGGGCAGACAAGTCTGAGCATCTGCCCAGGGTGTGAGGGTCTGCCCTGGGAGAGGGAAGAATTTACCATCAAGTGTGAGCACCTGCCCGGGGTGTGGGGTCTGTCCCCGAAGAGGGAAGGGCGAGTTACAAAGCGCCAGGGCAGAACGCACAGTGGTCCATCTGCAGGAAGCAGGTAACTAGTTTTTCTTTTTCTGAGCAGCCTTTCTCTTCTTCTGTCGCTTCTTTTTTCCTATCTTTTCTTTTTTCCCCACTTTTTCTTCTCTGCGCCCCCTTAGATAAAATTAGTAGAACCATTAATCACATTGCAACACACAGGAGTGTATCTCAGTTCACACAATATTTGGCATTGCCTCAGGAGCCAATTTAACTGTCTTCAGTTTGAGGCCTGGAGGCCCCTTGGCAAAATGAGGCTCATAAACAATTTATTAAAGTAAACTAGACATTTCCCGCCACCCAAAAGTTAAACAGGCTGCCTTAGCCCTATGACCCGGGAACTGCTGACAGGGCCTGCCAATTTTGCCAGGCAGGTTCTGGTTCTTAACCACCCTTGCCATAGCTCACCCTGAGACAGGAATGCACTTCTCAGAGAGTGTGGAAGGGAGCCCCGGGGTCTGCCTTCTTTTTCAAGGCAGAGGTGAACTCTGCTTTGGCTACAAATCTGCATTTCAAATTAAAGCACTAGAGGTTGGAGGCCCCAGGCTCAGGCAGCCCTCCAGGAGAGGCTAGGAAAGGCTGCATGATTGATCCCACCTCTCTTTTCTGGATGCTGGGGAGCATCCCTAGGGATAACTGAGATTGTTCTAGAGAGCTAGGGAGAGAGATGGTTAGCAGAGTTTTATTAGAGCAACTGGTTTGTGACTGTCACATTAAAATGATTCAGGCTGAATGGTATTTAATGATTTATGGGGTGAGGCCACCTGTTCCAACAAAAGCTTGATATTAAATGGCCTGGAGTCATGGGATTTTTTACATGGGAGTCTAGGAAAGCTTGATATTACTGGGGTTGAGTCTGGGGATTACATGAGGATGTTAGGAGAACTGAGGAGGGGGAGGAGGAGGAATTAGTGAGTCAGGTATTATTCACCAGAAAATGGAGTTCTACTTCCATTGGGTTAAAAAAAAAATACACAAGAGCTTCCGTTGAAGACTCAGCCTGCATGGTGCTGCTCACCCGCAGACTTCAGGACATGCAGAGCAATCCACAGCACCTGAGCAGCAGGTTGGCTCGTGTTTTACAATCTTCAGAAAGGTATCCATCTAGCAACTAATGGATTTTATTTCAGGTAAATAAATTCCCACATACAGTAGGAGGTTTACAGCATGAAACAATTAGCATTTTATTGCTAGTGCATATAGTGTCACAGTTGATACAATTTCAGTACAAGTGGAAAAATACACTGTGGCTACATTGGAAAGCTGCAGTACATTTATATGTCATATATTTTTCTTTACAAATTGCCAGTAGTTTAAGATCATAGAGATTATCTACTGACATTACTATGGCTCAACTTCAAATATATGAATTGACTACAAATATATTCTGAAGTACATTTGTTTTCCAAAGAAACATAAAAAGTGCACAAAAATATATGTAAAAAAATGCCTTGCAAATAGTTACCAAAACCACCAGGGCCATCTGTGATCGTAAGTATGAATCCAAGTTTTATCTTGTCTCCATTTCTAATTGGGACCTGAAATCCCCACCGTGACTTCATGACAAGATTCTGGCTTGTTCATTATTATTATTTTATCATCTCTGATATTTGAAAACTCAGAGTCCATGGAGCCACCATGGTGTATATAGGACAATTAGAAAAATCAAATTCCTCAAAGTAAGTTTTCAAATTAAATTTTTGTTTATAACTATGCTTCAGGCTTGTTTTAGTGTAAATACAGGCACGTTCTCACATTATCCAGGAGGAGCTGGCTCCATTCTGCAGGAGGCCAAAGAGAAATCTCACAAAGGGCCCAAGTGAGAGGAGAGCAAAGAGAAGAGGAGGAGGGCGCATCCCCAATCCCTCTCTTCCTTCTGATGCAGCATTGGTCGGTCAGGATACAGAACTGAGAAGCAGAAGCCAGATGAAACATGCTTTTCGGAGGCAAGCAGAGAGCAGGAACGGCTAGGTAAGAGTCTCTGAGCACAGACCCCAGGGAAATCATTTACAGGAAGCCTCCTGTTTGTACCCAGATACAATCACTGAACTGGAAGAAGGAGGTGACGGCAACAGCCTCTGCCCAGCCCTGAGCTGCGTGAGATTCACAGCAAGGCATCTGTCGAGGGGCGCCCCCTGCAGGACCAGCCCTGCAGTGTTCCTCCAGCTCTGGAGGAAGGTTACTCTCTAGGGTTCCCTGCAAAGCCACCACCTGCAACTGTGCCCAGAGACACCCAGGAAAAGAGAAGCTCCAAAGCAAACCAAATACAGACCTTGAAGTTATCACTGTTTTTAAAAATGAGGATGAGGAGGATGAGGAGAATGAGGATGAGGATGAAGCTAACTGGTTAGGGTAATACAATTTCTTAGAAAAACCCCAGTTATAAAAGCTCCATTGTGCATGGGCGAGGGCATGGATGAATATAAGCTGCAATATCGTACCATATACTATGGTGGAGTGTCTTTGTGCTGGCAAACCTCAGCATGACCCCGGTCAGTGCTGTCCCGCTGGCCAGTCTGGCCAGGGTTCAGGCCCTCCTCCCCACCACTGCCTTTTCATCTCCCACGGATGTCAGCTTTCCTCGGGGGTCTACTGGGAAGTCCTTTGGGATGCCGTGCTTACTTGTTTAAAGCTTTGTCCAGGTACTCCTGAATCCACTTTAGTTTCGGGTCAATGCACACTTGTCTGTTGTTGCTCTTCAGCCTTGCACTGCCAAAACAGAAGGGGAGACACTGTACAGCCCAGTGGGAGAGAGGCATTGCGTGGGCTCACCCAACACACCTCCCTGAAGGATCCAGCTGCTGCCCCCGGAAGCCACAGGTTTGAAAGCTGCCCAAGGATTATGGGGACATAGCACTTGAAGTGTGTAGGATCCACCATTCCAGAGTTAGGAATGTGCTAATGATGCTTCCCAGGGGACACAGGGAAGAGACCTGAGGGGAGGCATTTGAGCTCTGGCCTTTGATGGATAAACAGGAGCTTAGCAAGCCAGTACTGCAAAGGGGAAACCAAGATCAAATGCACTGAAGGAGTGGAAGTACCCCAAGGAGGTGGAGGAAGAGTAGGTACAGGATGCTCAAAGAGCCGCATGGAAGGGGCAAAAGGCTGTGACTTCATGTGGATGGATGGTCTTGGAAACTTCTGGAAAGTACCAGAAGCGGCTTTAAAATTCAATGGGTTGCATTGATAGCATATTGGACATGACTTAAGGTTAGCTCAGGAGGAAGAGTGCAGCTTTTCAGGGGAGGAGCAGTGGAAGTAAAAAGGGACAGGGGATAGGATAGAGGAATTGTCACACCACACTCCATGGTCTTGTTCTTGTTGAAAGTTGGCTCAGTGTTCTTCTTCTCACCCTTAAAGTTTCCTAATGGGGAGATGAACTGATGAACTTATCCCCGGGATATTCTCAAAGTCCTGGATGCCAGGTAATTCTAACACACTCTGAGAATCCTCTTCCCCAGCCACTGAATGATTCTGGGGAAAACTAACCAGTGTCCAGGGACAGGTAAACCTCTTACAGCAGGGTGTCCGTTAATTAACAGTTGTGCAGAGGAGGGGTGTGACTTGAAAGAGGAAATGCGGGGTGCCCATCTGGGTACAGCCTTTTGTTAATTTGGCATTTGCCTAGACTCAGTAGTTGTATCTGGCATTGTGGGCTCAAGGGCCATTCCCCAGCCAGTGAACCAGCACGGCCTAGGCAAAACTAAATATACCATCTTTAAAATACCTTCCACAAGAAAGTATTACATTTTAATCAAAATAGTAAAAAGATATTCATCATCTAGGTCTCTAAAGCATACTTGTATGTAACCAACACATACACTTTCAGCAGCGAAGGCTGTAAAGGTTGGTGAAGAAAAGAAAAGTAACTGCTTACTCTTGTACTTACAAGTAAGTAAACAGTTCCTGTTGGGTGGGGAAACCCTTGGAAAGGACAGAGGGCACAGCTTTTATCCCAACTGCTGGGTCCTTAGTCCCTTTTTAGTGTTAAGTCGCCCGAGGATGTGAGCCCCTCCTAGGAGACTAAGCCGTCACCCTCCTCCAGCATGGGAGGACAGACTGGTACACGTACATCTCTGAGAGCTTTACATGTCTCATTTGTATGCTTTGGGCTTTTCTTGTTTCCCACCTAAATTTAAGGCAAATGCTGGCAGCTACCATCACCATCCAGCAAAACAAAAAAAGTCTCTCAGACAAAGTGACCTTAAAATGTTGGCCTTTCAGCAAGTGGTTAAAATTGACATCCACAGAATCCAGGTTGCATAATCTTTTTTGCTGTATGAGGAAGAATTAACTTTGGAAAACCAGAGTCTTAAAACTGACAGGCTCAACCGTGGTCAGCTGAAGGCTGACCTCAGTGAAGCCGACCGCTTTTTCTGTGCAGGGACGGAAAGCAACTCGGAAAAAAGGAGAAACACTGAGAGCAAGGGTTTCTGGGAACAAAAGTAGCCTTTGAAACTCATGTCTGACGGCACATCAGAGTCCTCACGGTGGTAGCAGCTGCCACTAATTATGCCAAATCTGAGGCTTCCTATCTTGGGCTCATCTTTGGAGGATGTTGGCTTGGACTTACACAATCTGAAGGGCACAGTTTGGAGTGTTGAGGATTTTCAGATGTTTGACATTGGATCTGGAGACATGGCTCTCGAAGAATCGGCACGGGCATCTGTAGCTCAGGCTGACAGGCTTCCCTAAGGGTGTGGAGAGAGAACAAGGCCACTCATTACTCTGTCTAGTGCTGGAGATTTGAGGGGTTAGATGGTGTCCTGCTGGTAGGTGAAGAATCAGGAAACAGGCAGGAATGGTTACAGATACACTCTTGCAAAGACCATTCTCTCTGCTAGGAAGCACAGTGAGATCCTATAGGGTTCAGCTTCTGTGGGACAAAGGACAAAAAGACCTGGGGAGAGTGGAGGAGCTTCTAGGCTTCCCCCTCTTCCTTTGGGCTGGGCCTGAAGTTAGGGGGTGTGCAGCGGGGTGGGGGGTACCATCTACCACCTGCAGTTTTCCCTCCTCCCACTCACCCTAAGCCCTGGAAATCACAAAAGAATCCAGAGGAGAGACCCTGGATTTACCTTCTGTCCTGCTTTCCCCAAAAGCTAGAGTCAAATGTGGCTTTTATGATCAGTACCTGGATGCCTAGGCCTGCTGGATCCTATTACCAGCTTTGTTTGCCAATTCACCAATTTGCAAAATGCCATAATTGACACTCATTAGTGTAAATTAGCAAGGGGCTCCTTGAGAACTCCTCTTAAGACCCACCCTTCACATCTAGAATTGCAAGCCCTATGACCAGACTCATAGCCGCCCCCACCAAGATTTTATCCCAGCTCTATTTAATATCCCCAAATGTTTGAATTTATGGATCTTTCTGCCAAAGTTTAAAAGTAAGGCTGAGAATAGTTAGTCCAGGGATTTTAAGTTTGCTTATTTAGAGTTCCAGGGGACTTCTGGAGATTCTGAAAGTCCGTTCCTTTGGGAAGCAGCTGGAGAAGTGGATCAAATCTCGTGGATGATGGGTTTATCTTTTTGCAGGTGTTATTTAGTGGAGGGATGGTGTGGCCTGGGAAGAGTAGTGCACTTGGACACTAAAGCAGAGAAAAAAGGATTTCGTGTACAGGCCAAAGTCCAGATCAGCTCTGTTGCCACCCTGGACTTGGGACCTAGAGATCTCATGGGGCCAGAGCGCATCCTACTTAAGGCCTGAGAAGCCTCCTGTCCCGGGTCTGACCAGGGAGGCTTAGGGTGCCTAGGATTTGGCCGCTGAGCTGGAACAGCTAACTGGGAAAAACAAAAACCACAGCAAGGTTAGCCACGTTGCAGCTCGGGGGCTGTGTAGGACCAGAAGCCACCCAGGTGCTAGGAGGTAAAGAAAAGTACTCATTTTGGCAATGCAATGGGTCCTGCCTAGAGAACAGGATCCCATCCAGATACTGGATCATAGAGAGGCCAACAATCGGACTCTTCCGAGGGTCAGAATATACCTGAGGGTGAGGCACCCCACTTACTCTGACTGCACTCCAGCCTCGAGGACTTGGAATCCTGCATTTCTGTCTCACACCAGGCGACCCAATTGTGACACTTCCAACTTAACCAGAGCATGCAGTTTTTAATGTCCAAATCATCGTGTTCTTTCCCTGAGTAGTGGGGGCCAGCAGGAAGGTGCAGCCATTAACAGAAAAAAAAATCTAAATTGCCTGCTATTTGCGTTTCTTACTTCTCCGATCAGCAACTCACTACGCTTTTAGAGAACATTTCCCTCCCACCAAGCATTTCCAAGCTTTCCAACCATATTCAACCGAACACAGGTGGCACCGCTACTGGTATCCGGCTGTTCACCGGGTCAGAACCCAGACCAACGCTCTGGTGCCCTTGGGCCGCCTACAGCTAGCAGCCTCACCGAGAGCCCCGACTGTCCCTCGGTTCTCTCCAGGAAACACCGCAGCCGAGGAAGGCAGGATTTTGTTTTGTGTGTTCAGAGGCAATGGTTTGTTTTGTTTTGCAGCAGCGGTGTCTTGTAACAGCGCAGAGTTTTTTCTTCAGTGTCAAAAAAAGAAAACAAAATGAAAGCCCTTTCCCAGTGAAACGGGACACCACCCTGGGTCTGGGAGACTGAACTCTGCTGCAGCTCCCATTCCAGAGCAGAGGGCTCCGGGGCTGGCTACAAAAGCGCCCATCTGCAGGTGTGTTTGGGGGTTGGGGAGAGGTGTGTATGGTTTGGGTGACTACTGTGGCTTTGTCTAGTGATCCCGCGAAACAGAAAGGGAGCAGAGAAAAGATGCGCTCTCAGGTCCGCGTCGCTACGGACCAACGAACTGTGCAGAAGCGCTGCCCTAGCTGGTGGCGCGAGTTCAAGAGCTGCGCAGCGCCTGGTCCCGAGACCCTCAAGGGTGCTGTAAGAGGACCCGCTTCGCTGGGGATTGAGTGTGGAACGAAGAGACACGAAACTCATTTGCACCGTATCTATAGCCAAGCCAAGCACTTTGAGCTATTTGACTGGCGGTTAAGAGTTTGCTTACACACGCACCAACTGAACCGATTTCCCTCACCATAAGCTCCGGGACCGCACTGCCCTTTCCTTCTGGAAACATCTGGTCGCGGGTGGCCACTAGCTGAGTACAGCTGGCGTGTTCTGGGACCCGCAACCCAGGACACCGCCGCCCACGCTTTCATTCCACTCTGGCCTCACGCTTGCCCAACAATTCTGCCGATCCTCTCCTGCAGTCCTCTCTAGGTCCTACGACCGCGCTTGGCACAGCACAAAACCTCGGTGCGACGCGTGGGACACGGGAAAAGGCACCCGAAGGGAGTGCGCCTGTAAAGTGACTGTCTCAAGTTCGCTTGCAGTGCAGGGCGCCGAACGAGTTCTTTCTCCCCGACTCTGACGCGGGCAGAGGAACCGAGGACCTGGGGGAGCCACGGCGCAGAGCTGCCAGCCCTTCTCGGTCCCGGGCGCGGATTGCACTTACCGTCACTGATGCAGAGCGCGGCCAGCACCAGGGCCAGCACGGCGACGACCTTGGCATCCATGGCGTGGGCGGGAAGGCGCGCCAGAGGCTGCAGGGCTGGACAGCAGGAAGACACCGAGGTGGACCGAGAGTGAAAGTGCGGCAGAGGGAGGCGCGCACTGGGCGCTTTAGAAACGAAAGGCTGGTGGGGCGGGGCGGCGCTCGTCAAGGGGCGGGTCTGGAGTGTGGCTGGGGTCTCTGACGCGCATCCCCTGCGGAGTGGCCGCCCTTCCAGTCCCTCCCTCCCTCCTCTGCTTGGCGCCCTCGGTGTCCCCGGCCCCGCTGGGTGCTGGGACCTTTGATCTTCCCAGTCTCCAACCTGGACTGGCTGCTTGGATCTGGACTCTAAAGAGGCTGGTTTGCAGAGCGTAATGCTCCCATCATGCGGATGGAGAAACTAAGGGCGTGTGGAAAGGGAAAGCCGTAAAATAAGCATCAGTGAGTCAAAACAGTCGGTTTCAGGCGCGAGGGTCTGGTGCGCCCTATCCAAAAGTTGTTAGAGAATCTTGTCTTTGGTCTTGGGACCTTAAGCTGACCCACCGCATGCCCAGGCTCTTTGCCGTAGGGGACAATGAGGCTTAGGGCAACGTGGCCAGTCTGCAGTTAGAATAAGTGGGATTCCCAGAAACTATCACTGTTATCAAAGTCGGAGAAGTGGCGTTCTGATGAAAAGCTGTGCTGCTGTGGGAAAAAAAACTAAGAGGCTCTCCCAGAGGGTCTCAGTACACGTGAAATTCCTCTGCCATCTCCCCTATGTAGCCCTGTTCGGTCGGCTACGGGGAGGGGGGCGGGGGTAAGGGAAGGGGGATGAGGAGTGATCACAGCTTTCACCCTGCTGAATGGGAATGAAGGAGAATTGACTGAAAGACTCAACTCCCGCGAAACGTCGTGCCTCACATTTAGCGCTTGATTCTAATGAGTGCTCAGTTAATGGAAGCTGGAAACAGCTTCTTAAACTTCAGCATGCCCTGCCTTTTCCGAAGAAAGTCCAGTGTTCTCCAAAGCACGAAAGAGGTCCCTGCCATCCTGTTCCCTGAGACGGTGCTCCCGAAGGGGGTCACGGTGTCTTTATAAATACAGCACTGACGTTCAGTTCTGCCGGTAGGCCGTTGTGCTACAAGTTGGTCAAATAAAACAACCCCAATCTGGCGGTGGTAAGAGTTGAGGGGGGGGGGCAGATGGACTCCAGCCCGGGGAGAGACTGAGGGCAGCGTCCTTTGGGTCTTCCTCTGCCACAGTCAGTACTGGCCATTCTGTTAGCCCCTTTCTCACATAGCCACTTAGTGATTTGGATTCTATTACCACTTCCACCCAAGGGGGTATGCAATGGAGACATGCCCCTGTCTAGGGGGCAATAAGGGGATCATCTTTTTAAAGGAGTGGTCGGACTGTTGGACCTGGGGCTCCACCTAGGGTCTAAAGAAGAGAGGCTGGGGTCAACAGGAAAATGTCCCAGCCATGAGAGTGTTGTCCTCTGCGATTCTGCCAAGCACTTTGCACACATTCGTTTGTCAGACGCACTGTGGGGACCAAACTGCAAATCAGGAACTGCTCCGAGCTGGTCCATGCACTTAAAAAGCAACATTCCAGAGAAAGCGGTCATTTGTTTCCACCAGTTTTTGCATTGTCTTGAGCGTTCAGGATGCTACACTCTGAACTTGATGGTCCTGTGCTACAGAACTTCAGACGCTGGGCTCCGGCGCCCTCTGGTGGTCCCATCTCCCCGGCTCCAGTAATCCGAGAGGTTAAGTTCAAGCCGGTCGGGTTTCGATGCCTAACAGCACGGTTAAAAAATCATAGAAAAGGGAAGAGGGGGAGGGGGGAAGCAAGAGGCTCTTGGGCAAACACTACCCTGAGCACAAAAACTCGCCCTGGTGCTCCTACCCAGTGCCTCTCCAGAGGCAAGGTAAACCTCTTCTGTAAGTTTATTCAGATCTCTTGCTAAGTTGATGTTTCCTGCAAATTCAGGTGAGTAGGACCTACTCAGCGTCCAGGGGGGAGGGTGGGGGGAGGGGTGTCCTGTGCAGGCTAAGAATGAATGAAGTTGAGACTAACCAGGGCGCAGGGCAGGCTGCCCAGCCCTCTGGCAGATACACCCTGAGACTCCCGAACAGAAACTAGTGTGGGACATGTGCCTACTCGTCTACATTCATTCACTGAAAGATTTTCCCTAAGTCCTCCTACTGTGTGTGCCAGACATGGCCTAAGAGTTCGAAATATTTAAAAGACAAAAAAATCCTTTTTCGCCTGGAGTTTGCATCCTGGGGTAGGGAAGAAGCCCTGAGCAGCGCCAAAGCCAGTCAGCAAGGAAACATACAATGCATACGATGCCAGTCAGCAAGGAAGCATACATACGTACAATGCCAGTCAGCAAGGAAGCATACAGTACATATGATGCCAGTAAGTGCTCCGTGGAGATGAAGCAGTGAGGAGGAGCTTGGGATTTTAATTAGGGTGGTCAAGGACCTGGGTTTCTGATTTAAAAAAGAAAAAAAAAAAAAGGGATTTCTACAATTTTATAATAGATGAATAGTTTTCGTTTAAAACCCTGTCCACTCTAGGGGGCTCCAGAGACAGACAGGGGTCGTGAGCCTTTTGAACTTGCTCCATGCTCAGCCAAAGGACTGCCCTTGTTTATGTTTGGTTTGTTTCTCCTTGTTTCCACCCAGATCCCCTGTGGGAAGGTTTGTTTCATGTGAAGGCACAAAATAGCTCACCTTCTCTGCGCAGTCTGTGGCTCAGCTCCGCTCCACACACACAGGAATGAAAGGTGTTCTGTTTCTTGGCTTGCAATGCCTGCTACCCAGAGATCAAGATGGGAGCCTGGAGGCTGACTTCAGAGGTACAAAGAAGGCATGCTTGCTTGACCATGCTCTAGACCCCTGGCATAAGCATCTGCCCCCAGCATCTGTGGCTAGCCCTCCCAGGTGGCTTCTCAGAGCAAAGAAAAAGGTTTGCACTAAGTCCCCATTTGCAGTGTGTAACTGGCAAGATAATTTCAGTTGACTTTCTTTTTGATACTGACATTATTGTGGTCTTTTATAAAATACATTTTTTTTAGCATTAGCAGTGATAGTGGATCATGCAAGGAGTTGCATCATGACACTGGCAAGTATGTATGTAGTAAGCACACTTTGATTATATTTACCTCCCATTATCCGATCCGTTCTCTTTCTCACTTCCCCCTCCTTCCGCATTCCTTTCAGTTTCACAGGCTCCTTTTCTTCTTCTCTCTAGATCCCACATAGGAGACAAAACAGGCAATGCTGGTCTTTACGAGACTGACTGTATGTTTCCTTGCAAATGACAGAATTTCACCCATCTTTCTGGCTGAATAAAACCCCATTGTCCATATATATCACATTTTCCGTTCATCCATTGGTGGCACCGTGGCTCTTTCCATAATTTGACGGTGCAAATACTTAAAGACGAGCATAGGAAACACTTTTTAGATGTAGGTTTATGCATTTTTTAAGTAATAATGAAATATGACTGGTAAAATGCTTCAAATATTGCTCAGAATTTTTTTTTCAAATGTCTGAATTTCGTTTTAAAGAATGAGTTGAGCCAGATGGTGGTGGCAGACACCTTTAAGCCCAGCACTTTGGAGGGAGCTGGATCTCTCAACTTCCTGAGCTACACAGAGAAACTGTATCAGAAAAACAGAAACAAACAAACAATTCCCCCCTAAAGTGAATTGATATATGCCAGCATATGAGAAAATAATCTAATTAGTTAGGGACAGCAAACGTTGAAAATAGTACAAAAGCACCTAGAGTTTGATATTGTCTCATCCACGCTCACCTTTTAAAGTGAACGATTTGGCTTCAAAGTGGTAAAGCATAAAATCAAAGGAAGTGGTCATTCCCCTCACTCACGTACCAAGTTAGGCAGAAGAAGGCTGATCTAGGAGCATGCAGATCCTAAGAAGAGAGAAAGTGCAGGTAGGATCCTTGGGCACCTTTGTTCTCCCCCACCCCCAGAAGTGTCCTTGTCCCTCCTTCCAGACATGTCTAATGGGACTTGGGCAGCAGATAGGAGTGCATGCTGACTGGCCCCACACTGACTTGCTTACTCATCTCTGCCACCCTGTATGGTGTTCAGGAGTAGATGGCCTACTCCCGTGGCAGTGAAGAAGCTGAGGAAGATGAATGTCCAGAGACTTGTATGTTGTCCGTTGAAGTTGGTGTTGGGTTTACCAAGTGTCAAAATGTTTGGCTCAGAGAAGGTCTTTTAGGAGACATCTGGCAATTTTATTTCCGTGGGACTTCAGCTTACCCGTTCTGGACCTATGACACTGAGCTTTTACCAAGAGCATATTTTCAGTCTAAGCACTCCTGCCTCAGCTTCAAAAACAAGGCAGAATAATCCAGGAAAAATGGATCATAAGTACCTGTGACCTTCAGCAAGTCATAGAAGCATATCTGGGGACATAGATCACTCTGTGGCGGCCATCTAGAAATCTCTCAAAGATTTGTACTGAAGGCTGCAGCTCAGCACGGGTTGAGCTGGCTGTGTTCCTCTGGCTAGATCCCAAATGTGAGTTTTTAAAAAACCCTGTATCATTGGGTAGGGAAGGATCCCAGGAAATCTGAGCCAGATACCACGGGATTTGGATGCATGCCTAGGCAGGGCTGCCATCAGGGAACATGCATGACCATCAAACCAGGATGTCTCTAACAGGGTGTTGCTCAGAATGGCTGGACACTAGAAGACACAGGTATTTCCCGGAACACGGCTAGAAGAACAACCTCCTAGATCTAATGTTCTGTAAAAAACTTGAGGCCTGCAGGGCTCAGATCTCAGACTGGCCCTCACTAACTCCCAAACATGCTACTCAGGTCTGGACGATCTATTTTTCCACTCCTCCATGCCCAGCCACCTTCATTTCAGCTACCCCCACCGCCTTTTGGCAGTCAGGGCTCAGTAGCTTCGACACCACTAAAGGATCTAAACTCGACTATAGTAGCTACACCTCCTAAGAGATATTGCTTTCTGTGGTTTCCATCACCTACAGTCAGCCATGCTCTGCAAATACTCAGTGGAAAATTCCAGTAATCAGTAATCTCATGTTTTAAATTGTATGTTGCTCTGAATGTGATAAAACCTCCTCCCCTATCA